AAAGAACTAGAGTTCACATAGTCTATTGCTAGAGGCAATGGATGTCCCATCGGGATGTCATGCTTAGGGATGTCTCTTCTTCCTCCACCCCAATCCGCTTAGCTGCCTCATCATTCTTCTTTATTTTATTTCTTTTTTTTTTTTTGAGAGAGAGAGGTTTTTGCCTCAGTGTACATGCACTTGGCCAGAGAGAGACAGACAGTGAGAAAGTAAGAAATCACCCCCTGGGAAGGCCACACCACAATCCCTCCTCCTCCATTTTCCTCCCAGAATCTTGGGCACGCACATGCACCTGGCATGATTTTGAAACTACCAAGTCCAGGACTTGAACCGCGGTCGGCTGTGTGGGAGTCCAGCGACATAATCACTATGCCATCTGCTGGCTCCTGCCTTGTTATTCTTAAACATATCCTGTTCACCTTCTGTAAGTACACTGAGTCTGTGATGTGTTGGAAGGCAGGACATAGAAAACATGGTTTAAGAGGAGAAAGGCATATAATTAAGGATTGTAAGACAGTATACATAATAGCTATCACTGAAGTACGTGCAGTGTGAAATGTAAATCTCAGAGGTGAGGCTATCAGGGAGAGTTTCTCTGACAAGATAAAATTTCATCCTAATCTTAAAGGAGGAGGGATTCAGATTTGAGGGAAGGGGATAAATCTCATTATAGGGAAAGGAAACAGCGTATGGAAAAAAGAAAGAGAAGCATGAAAACTTAAAATGGCAGGTGGGCAGAGGGGGAGTGTGGGAAGATCAGGCCAAAGGAAAAGACAGGCCTGAGTGGATGCCGGTGAAGGCGTTTGGAATTGAACCTGTAGTCCAGGAGAGAAGTCAGGAAAACACTTGAGATGAAAGAATGACGTGGCCTCACGTTCTCTCTGTTGTTTCCTTTAGGAATTGTCTGGCCATGCTTTTCCATGTCATCACTAACACTTTCAGTGCTAGTGCTTTGTGCCAAGCTAATTCGGTTGCGGTAACATGTTTTTAGGTTGCAGTTTGCAGCAGAAAGTTTGCCCTACTAGAAAGTCTGCCCCGCCCCCGTCCGTCCCTCCACCCCACCCCGGGGAAAATTGTATCACGGCTAGACATTGTGACCCCAATCCTAGGTCAGAGGAATGGAAGAAGGGGAATCGTGGCATGACCATGCCTCATTGGAGTGTGCTTTCCCTGGTGACTGCATGTGCCCTCTGGGAAAAAGAGAGTGAGTTTCTTTTTTGTCAGGCCACCAAAATGCTCCTGGCGATTGCTCTTCTCATTTCTGATCCACTGCAGTGCATCCCCAGTCATACGGTTGTTTGTGTAACAGGATCTTAGCCAGTCTCACAATAAACTATTCTTTGGAATTTTACAAAGATGTCATTCTTGGCATCCAAACTGGAACTCATTTGTGCCTACCCCATCGTTTTCCATCTACGAATGCTTTTCAGTTGGAGAGTAGTTTTACGGTAAGTGTCTCGATTTTTAAATATAAAGAAGCAGGTGGCAGATGTGCCCGTTACCTGGATGTGTCAAGCCTTTATGCTACTCATTCACACAGGTCTTCTGAGTGAAGCCAACTGTTGAAGGTGCTAGAGGCAGGCCTGCTGCCTGGGGGAACCTGGGGCTCATTTGGCTCATTGCTGCCACCTGCTGGGGCCCGGCTGCTGGACCGGGAAGGCCACCCAAA